TTAAGGAAACTCTACTCCCATATTTGTTGGACACTTGTAATAATGTCATGGTTCAAGGCCTAAATCTTGGGCAAAGGCTAAACATAAGACACCTGAAGCAATCTTGTCGAACTTTTGGCCAGACCTCTTACATTCTAAACAGAAGGCAGAATTAGCAGCACTATTTCTGTTAGTGGCAAAAACTTCGATCGCCCAATCATGGAAATCGAACAACACCCATTCTATGCAGCAATGGTTCATAAAACTTTGGGACATAGCCACAATGGACAAACTAGCTATTCAAATCCGAAAATCTGAACTACCCTCCTTGAAAGATAATTTTTTGGAAAAGTGGTTTCCCTTTTTTTATTACATTTCAACCTCAGGGAATAAAAATTGTACTTTACCAAAAAAATATGTTGATGTTATGTATTATTAAACTGATAAAGGTAATTATTATTAGTAAGTTTGTAAAGATGTAAAAGAGTAAGTTCATGTTATAACAAATTGTTTGTATTGTCAAATTTGTATATAGTTATATTTTTGTTTTGCTTTTGTAGTAAAGTTGTAAAATTTAAAAAAAACGTTAAAATTTAAGTTAAAAAAACATTGTATATAGTTCAGTTTGGAACAGCATAAATTTGGATGCCGCTCTTCGGAGAGTCAGATTAGAGCTGAGTAATGTTTTGAATAAAAGCCTTGTATTGATAATTGTCTCCCGCCTTTCAGTACATAAAAATATATGCATACAATACACAGTGCCATTTGGGCAGAGCTTTTGCTACCTGCTTTGCACGTCCCCAGGAGTCCCTTGAAGCTTAAAGGAAAGCTGACTCCTGGGAGGAGGGAAGTGCCTAGAGAGAGGCTGTTGCTGTTGTGGCAGAGATTTTACCACATACTTTGCTGCCCTTCTCTTCCTTGTGGATAGCTTTGTTGCTTACTGGTAGATTGGTCGTATTCAATAGTCTGTTATTGCTTTTCATATTGTAAGCTGTTTTGAGTTCAGTTCGGAGAAAAGTGGGGTAAAAATATCCATGTAAAGGTAAAGGTAAAGGTTCCCTTGCTCGAAAGCCAGTCGAATCCGACTCTAGGGTTGCGGTGCTCATCTCCGTTTCAAAGCCGAAGAGCCAGCGCTGTCCGAAGACGTTTCCGCGGTCATGTGGCCGGCATGACTAAACACCAAGGCGCACGGAACGCTGTTACCTTCCCACCGAAGTGGTCCCTATTTATCTACTTGCAATTTCTTGCTTTCGAACTGCTAGGTTGGCAGGAGCTGGAGCTAGAGACAGGAGCTCACCCTGTCTTGCGGCACCCGGGTCTTGAACCGCTGAACTACTGACCTTCCACAGCCTGCAGTTCAGCGTCTTAACCACTGTTATTGCTTTTCATATTGTAAGCTGTTTTGAGTTCAGTTCGGAGAAAAGTGGGGTAAAAATATCCATGTAAGTAAGGTGTATATTCAATGAGAACCTATTTCGGGGAAGTCAAGATTAGTTGGACTAAGAGTTGCCAACTCCAGTTGTGTAGGGTAGCCAACTCAAAATTGGGAAATTCCAGGAGACTTGGTGGTGGATCCAGGGGAGGGTCAGGTGGGATTTGGTGAGGTTCACCCTGCAGATCTGCCTCCATTTTGTGAAGACCTGGAGAGCCTTTTGAGAGCACTGTGGGCCCCAATTCTGGTTTGGACCACTTGAGTGCAGGAGGAAAAAAATGCTACTGCTTTTCGTCCTGCATTGGTTTTCCAACCTGAAACAGCGCCAGGGGACATTATTTGCTGACACACACCCCAACACTGTTTTGGGTCAGAAAAATGGTATGGGGGAAAGTCAGGAGCCCCTCCCCTCCACTTTGGTGGTCCTAAACAGATTTGGGCTCCCATGGCACTCTGAAAAGGCATTCCAAGACTCCTCAAAATGGAGGTGTGTCTCCAGAGCAAACACAGGGATCGTGTATTGTCTAATTTGGCCCCCAGAAAGGACGTAAAATGTGCTGTGTTATAGGCATGGCCCTTCATGTCTAAATATAATGAGCAGGGTCTGCATATCTCTCACTCCTTGTGATCAGTGACATTTAGAATGTAGCATTGCTGATTGTGGCGAGTAGGCATATGTGCAGCCATTTCCCCTGCACTGTCACACCCTGGAGATGACTGAGTGATCATGTAGAGTCAGGGAGTGGGGCCATATGCTTGTGAATGCACAGGGCTGTAGTCTGTGGGGCTAGTAATGGAAGACGACAGCCCTGTGGAGGATGTTTCATTATATTGGCTTGGGAGTTCTGGCTTGGGAGTTATGCTGAAAATGAAACAAAATGCATACCATTTTCAGAGTTGCCAAGCCAGAGTAAAAAAAATTGATAAACAAAAAATGATGTTAGTTTCAGAATTGGCAAGAATGAGCTATTAATTGATGCCCTTTCTTCTGCCAAAACTTCTATACCTTATAGTACAAGTGTACTCTTGGATAGCCCCTTTTTTGGCTGCAGTTGCTTCCAGCCTTTCAGAGGGGGAAACAAATTCGTAAAGCTTATGTGTCTTGAAGGTTGCTACATTTTAGAAGGTATTGAACTGTGCACTTAAATAGAGTACAGTTGGCCACTGAGAGCATTGTGTTGATTGCCTTCATTTACATTATTAATGAATGATCTATCTAGTGGTGTTTTTTTACTTCCCATATGCTCTATCTTGGTTACTGTAACTCCTCTCACTTTCCACCAACCCATAACCTACTCTAGAATCAAGCGGTTACCTGCTTTATAATAATAATATGGTTGTTTTGAACTGCAACTGTTATGTGTAATGTGTTGTATGAAGTGCCAACACCTGGAAGTAATGGGTTCAGTTAAGTACCTTTTAAAGCATATCATTTTGATCCTCTAGTCAGCTCTTTTTGGAACAATGGCCTTCCATATGTGTTTCTAATACCAGGAACCAGTGAGAAGTTGCATAGGGATTGTGTCATATACCGGATTACAAGAGAGAGTGGAGGCATCAGTATAAACAATTGTAGTATATAACCAGAGCCAGGAAAGGTCAGGGCTTTGTGCTATGCTGCGCTGAAACAGATTTCCTATCTAAACCTCCTTGACATTTGCTTAGCCATTCTCTTCAAAGCCTTCAGTGGGACAGAAAAATAAAGGCTGCTCAGTTGGTCCAGTAGAAAAAGACCAAATGCAAGGACTCATGACTTTGTGACATTTTTATTGGTCCTAATAAAAGGTATTACCGCATTTGTTCATAGAGGAAAACTCTGTTGTTTTCCTAGAGAACTTTCCCCATGGTTCCCCCGGCTGTTATATAGTTTCACAGCATTTATCCAAAATAAGTCTCCCAAGAATTTAAAACAATAGTCAATTGTCCTGCTTGAAAAAGGGAATAGGTGGAAACTTGCTGAAAAGTACTCGAGACGTTGAGTGATTCAGCAAGGAGTACTTTATTAGATCAGAACAAGACAAAGCACCCCGGCACGCAGGCCGGTATATATGTCCAGAACCCACCACCAAAACACACCCCCTAGTGACCCTATAGGTTATTTACAGTGGCCGAGAGTCTCATAGGCTCTCGGCCGCGGACCTTGCCCTCTGGTTGGTGCGGGCTAGGATCCGCTCAGCTATTGTTCTCCTAGAACGAAGCTTAGGACTTGTGCGCGACCGCATGGCCCAACGGTCGCGCACGTGGCAATGCGGATACATTACACTTGCACATGCCACCACACATACCCCCAATTCTCTTGCCAGGTATACTTATGAAGGAAGCTGTGGCCAGATGCTTTACCCAGGACTACATGTGCAGCCAGAGAACAAGGAGGAAGAACTGGTGTGCCTGCAGTACCAGAAATAGAACTATTAGAGGCTTACTGAGCATTTGGGGGACAGAGGAGGAAACTGCCTGCTTGCCCTCATTGGGGCAAGAAGGAAGACCTGTGGGGGCTGAGACTCAATTTTCTTTAATTGTTCTATTGACAGGGATAATGGAGCACAATTGTTCTCTAGATTCTTGAGGGCAGCCCTGTGCATATTTGAAGCCTTAAGCCCATCTGTGCACATGTAAGGGATCCATGCATGTGGCTGGAGTTAGCTTTGTTGTTTTTTTCCCACCATTGGAGTGCTGAAATTGCTACAAGGCTAACAGCTGTTTGGTTTTAGAGTGTGGCTTTCCCCCCTTTCAGCTAAACAAACCTGGTTTCTTCAACATCACTTGTACAGGATGTTTGCACATATGTCTAAATGTTCTTGCTTGGTGGCATATTGGTTCTGGGTTTTTTAAGACATTGTCCCGATGTCCGGACTCCCGGGACCCCCTGACCCATCAGACACCCCCAAAACACCTGCTGGGAGCTGACCCGCCTCACCTGGGGCTCTGGGAAAGTGGAGACGGGCATCCAGAGGGCTCGAGACTGGCGCAGGGAGGCCCAGAGTGTGTGACCCACCCGAGTTGCCGCTGGGCAGAATGCCAGTAGAGAGGGGGCCCTGTCCAGTGGTGGGACTGGCGCAGGGTAGGCCGACTGGCTGGAACCAGAGGCCTCACTTGGCTGGGAGACGTGGCACCTCCAGCCAAGTATGGGGGCAGAGCCCGACGGGGTGCCTCAGCATCCTCAACTAAGTACAGGGGTGGGAAACAGGGAGTGGGGAAGGATATAAGGACAGGGGTTGGAACAGGTCAAGGAGGACTGCCTTGGACTTCTGTGAAAGCCGCACACCAGAGAGAGGGAAGTGGCTGGGAATTTCAGGAGGAGCACAGTGTGTGTGGGTGATGTAATCCCTCCCCCTGTTCAACAGACTGAGACCCGAGGGAGTCCAGTAGGGTGCACAGCAGGGGTCAAGGTGACTGCGGGGGCAATGGACCCAAGGTCCAGCAAGAATGGGGAGGAGTTAGACAGCTCATGTGACAGACATATCCTTTAAATTATTTGTATGTTGTATTTATGTATGGCTTTTTACATTCCTCTGCAAGCTTAGCAATGAGAAACTGCATGTTATGACGGTCACCAGATTTTTGCAAGTCCCATTCTTCTCTTTTTCAGATTCCATAGGTGGACCTTTTCCTTCTTCCTCTCACCGATGCCACCACAAGCAAAAGCACTGTTTGCCCATTCCACAGTGTGGCACTCTTTCAATCAGTCCACTGTTGTTCCATCCACACACCAAGGGGTCGCAGATCATCATGGATACCACACAGAAGGCAGTCAAGCGGCAGGCCAGCTTCTGCAATGCCATCACCTTCAGCAATAGGCCAATTGTTATCTATGAGCAAGTCAGGCTCAAGGTGAGTTGATGCTTTGTGAGGTGGTCCCAGGCTGCCCCAGTATCTTGCCAGATATTTCTTTCCATATTTGAAAGAGATATCAATTATTTTGGAACATGAGAATTATTGGGTTAGATCCAACAACATCCTTTGGCTAAGTCTTGCAGCATCAGAGCACAGCTCCTCCCTTTGTGGAGGGAAGTCATTGGATCCAACCTGCTGTGTCCTTTATTTTTGAAATTCTCTGTCACAAACCTGTTTGTGGTAAGGGGATTACAAGATGCTCCAGTTTATAGTGTTTATGCTGATAAACCCTGCTCTAAAACATTAATTTCACAATTTACATATCTTGCTGCAGAAATAGCTCTGTAACAGTTTACTCCTTTTCTGTGAGACCCATTTTTGTGTAACCTTTGTAACGTCACCTCTCTGTCGTGTTCTGAGGTGAAGAAGATTGGATTTATACCTTGCCCTTCACTCAGAGTCTCAGAGCAGCTTACAAAGTCCTTTCCCTTCCCCTCCCCACAACAGACACCTTGTGAGGTAGGTGGGGGTGAGAGAACTCTTTCCAGAACTGTCCTTGAGAGAACAGCTCTGAGAGAATTATGGTTTGCCCAAGGTCATCCAGCAGCTGCAAGTGGAGGAGTGGGGAATCAAACCCAGTTCTCCCAGATTAGAGTCCGCACACTTAACCACTACAACAAACTGGCTGTTTGTGTGTGTTGTGGTGATGTTTCTTCCTTAGCATTCCCTACTTATTTTCTCACCTTAGAATTCTTAGTTGGACCGAAAGAACAGGATGGATTAGTTATAACTATTAGCAGGGGTTATTTTGTAGAAAAAGAGGTGCAGGAGGTTATTAGCATAATTTATTTGCATATGCCACACCCCCTGACATCACCAGAAGTGTGTCAGAAGGCAACACCCACCACTCAGGCTCCACTGCACTGTTTTAGATTGCTAACTATTGGTGGTGGTGGGGAACGTGTAGATCTGTCCTCACAGAGGAGGGAGAGCTTGTACCTGAATAAAACTTGGTCTTAAAGGTGCCACTGGACTGTTTTGGATTGCTAGCTATGGGGGGGGGGGAGAACGCTTCGCTCCTGTGCGCTCCTACAGGAAATGACCCCTGACTATTTGCATGACAAAATGAGAGAATGGTCAGTGCATGGGGGTGGCTCTGAGGTAGAAAGGAGATCTTTACTCAAAATAAAATAGTTGTTTTCTCTTAAACATAGATTTTATTTAGAAGTTTAACAGCGTAACAGTTTTAGTATAGTGTCATAAGTGTAATGGTTCCAGCTAGGTGTACAGTTCTTGTTTCTTTAAAATTCCTTAAATACACATACAATTATTTTTTTCACCTACCACTTAGGCTAATAATTTGCACAAGGCAGGATTTCCTAACTTGCCAGTTAGGCTAATAACTTCCAGACAGGCTTATTTTCCTCACTTGCCACTTAGTCTCATAACCTCCAAGGACAGCACAGATTTCTTTCACTCCATGACTTCTTTCCACACACACTCTACTAACTATCTCTCACCCATCCAGCCCCCCTGTGTCTTTTATTCTACAGGCCTGCATTTTATCAGCAACATACATATCGGGCTCCACATAAAAATACAGAAATAAAACACACATGAAATATTTACCTAGTGAAAACATCATAATTTCACTTCCACAAATGGTGACACGCATCCTCTGAAAATCTTGAAGGCCAGATAGCAAGGAAAGCAGTGGCACGGGAGAATAAACTCCCTGGGACAGTGTAACTTTCCACTGAGTAGTTTGCTTGAATTCAACCTCTTCAAATTATTTTATATAACTCTGCAAGGCAGATTTGCCTCATTGAGTTTCATGTTGCAAGGCAATAGTTGCTACAGCTTGAAGGATCTAATAAGCAATGCAGTAAGTGTTGCCAACCTTCAGGTGGGTACTTGAGATCTCTTCGAATTACAACTGATCTACAGACTACAAAGATCACTTTCTCTGGGAAAAATGACTGCTTTGGAAGATGGATTCTGTGTCATTATAACTTGCTGAGGTCCCATCCCTCCCCAGGCTCCATGTCCAAGTCCCCAGAAATTTCCCAACCCAGGGGTAGCAACAGATATTTGAAAGAAATAATAAAGTATTAGACATGATATATTAAACAATGTAGAAAATGGTTTTATGTAAGTATAAAAACAAAGCAGTGAGAGAAGGATAGTGCATACAGTAACAGATAATACATATGGTACGTACTAGCAGGGGTCATTTCCTGCAGGAGCGCACAGGAACGGGGCTCCAGCAGTAAAGAGCCCAGGGGGCGGGCACATGCAACAAGCCCCACCCCCTGCTCCCAGGAGCCCTCAGTCAGAGCAAGAAGCAGCCAGGTGAGTTGCAGAGCCCCCCCCGCCCCCCGGCCCCAAACAGTCCAGTGACACCTTTAAGACCAAGTTTTGTTCAGGTACAAGCTCTCCCTCCTCTGCGAGGACAGATCTGCACGTTCCCCCCCCCCCCAAATAGCTAGCAATCCAAAAGAGTCCAGTGCAGCCTGAGCAGTGGGTGTTCCCTTCTGACACACTTCTGGTGATGTCAGGGGGCGTGGCATATGCAAATAATTTATGCTAATGAGCTCCTGCACCTCTTTTTCTACAAAACGACCCCTGCGTACTAGTATAGTCCACAGTCTTCTTCCCTTTATGAAAGTACGTTCCCACACCTTTCCGTTATAATAGAATCATATTACATTTATAAAAATTCCTTCCTGAACAATTCTTTTTTTAAGCACAATAAGTTCTTGGGAAACTGTACTTCTGTTGCTATGATCCCACCTTTGCCTAGGGCTCAGTGGTCTGTATTTTCTCTGGGAAGAGGAATACACTGGACCTCCAACAATCAAGTTTTACCAAGATTCTTGAACTCTAAGGTCAGGACAATGAATTTGAACCAGTTCTTAGTGTTGTCAGCCCTGAAACGTGCAATACATATTTTGTTTGTTGATAATTAAAGATGCACCCCTCTGGCAACCTCATCAAATATTTGGGACTGGAATAGGGCTGCAAGCCTCCAGGTGGGTTCCTGGGGATCTCCGGCTTTTACAACTGATCTCCAGCTGACAGAGATCAGCTCCCCTGGAGAGGGGTAGACTCTATGGCATTTGAAAGGTAGACTCTATGGCATTGTACTATGCTGAGGCCCCTCCCCTCCCCAAACCCCACCTTCTCCTGGCTCCACCCCCAACATCTCCAGATATTTTCCAACTCAGACCTGGCAACCCTAGACTGGAATGGAGATTTCCAGAACAGAGTCATGATTTTCAGGCAGGCCTAAGGCCTGTTGCACCTGGGGGGGGGGGGGGGCGGGCACACGCTACAGAGCCAGTGTCACATTTTAACCATATCAGCAGGGACCTGCTAATTGAACAGAGAAGGGAATTATACAGCAACAAAAATGGATGCATTGTAGGATTTTTTTTTCTGACTGTACCTACATCCATTTTTTTCTCACAGGCAGTCAAGACTGCTCACAAAGACCAAAGATGTATTGGGTAAACTGGTTCCAAATAAGATCAAACCTCCACCAGATATTACTGTATGGACTGGCAGCCCTCTCCACAATGTATCAGTACTCAGGACCTCTTCCTCACCCATTATTAGCAGAGCAATCACTAAATTCCTTATACAGCTGCAACTCTTGTAACACTCTCATGCTAACTCCTTGCACATCAATAGCACTATGACAGCTGTCTCAAGCCCCCCTCCCCCATTACACTGAAACCTCATCTCCTATTTATAAACTGCCAGAGTGGTGTAGTGGTTGGAGCGTCAGACTAGGATCTGGGAAACCCAGGTTCAAATCCCCCACTCTGCCAGTGGAAGCTTGCTGGGTGACCCCTGGGCCAGTAATATATTGTCAGCCTAACACAAAGAAGTTGTTGTGAGTATATGACAGAAGAGAGCAGAATGATGTAAGCCACTTCCGGTCCCCAGTGGAAAGAAAGGCAGGGTATAAATGAAGTAAATAAATAAAGAACAATGCACCAATCACAACCTTTCTTCCCATTCTTTACCCTCCTCCCTATCCATACGCACAAGAAAGGGCAAGATAATTCTACTGATTCTTTTGCTCCTTTTCTCCCTTCAGATCACAAAGAAGCAGTGCTGTTGGAGTGGGGCTCTTCGACTTGGATTTACTGCCAAGGATCCTTCCAGGATTAATCCAGAAACATTGCCCAAGTATGCATGTCCAGATTTGGTTTCTCAGAGTGGATTCTGGGCCAAGGCCCTCCCAGAAGAGTTTGCCAATGAAGGAAACATCATTGCGTTCTGGGTGGACAAAAAGGGGCGTGTATTTTATCGAGTTAATGACTCTGCTGCAATGCTGTTCTTCAGTGGGGTGAGGACCACTGAACCGCTGTGGGCTCTGATTGATGTCTATGGACTCACACGTGGGGTGCAGCTACTAGGTAGGTACATTTCTGGAAAAAAAATGTGGCTTTATTGTGGGAAGCTGTTTCCTTGGATTTTCAAGAACATCCACTTCTTTTCTATAGCTCACATCTTACATGAATTAGTCAATGATTGTCGACTACAGATTTTACATCCTGACTGAGCAAAGGATCCAGATCTTGCTGTTTCTGATTATGTCACTTCCTGAAATAATATAGCTGTGCATATATGACAATCCCTTGATCTCTATCTAGGCGCCATAAGCCAAAAGGACCCAAGGACATATTATTCTGCCTGTGCTGAGATAACTGTTTGTCTTTGTAAGGGCCAAACTACAGATAACATTGGAGTTAGATTACCATCCGAGGCAATGGGCTTAGAAGGGTGTAACTCTGCTTAGGATGGCACTGTGGACTCCCAATGTGACTTTTGAACCTAGAAAGCAGTCATTGGGGGGATAGAGATTGAGACCACAATTCTAAGGAAACGAAAATTAGCTCTTTCCCAGCCTGTTTCCTATATTGTTCCTGTCTCCCCCATTCTATTTTTGCCATCAAATTGCAGCTGACTTATGTTGACTCTATAGGATTTCCTTTCAAAAATGAGATGTTCAGAAGTGGTTTGCCATTCCCTGCCTCTGTGTAACAACTCTGGTATTCCTTGTAGGTGTTCCATCCAAGTAGTAACCAGGGCTGACACTCCTTAGCTTCTGAGATCTGATGAGAGTGGGCTACCAGGTCTTAAAGTAGTCTGGAATGTTTTCAGTCAAGAACATGGTGTAGAAAGAGAGTTACATCTTTTCTTCCCAAAGTCATGGCCCTGGCCCACATCAATATCCATGGCTATTTGTTGCACACATCAGGGGATTCATGACTCAGCACAGTGTAGTTTGGCCTTAAATGTCACCTCTGAGAAAGTTCTGTACTGCAAGCATGCTCTTTGAATTGCAGTCCCGAGTTGAAGTGATTGGTAGAAAACAATTCTGAAGTCATCCATTGCTAATGTTAACCTTCAATATGTTTCCTAAATTTCTTTTTAAATATGGTTGAGCAGAGTTGGGATGCTAAACAAATTCCTGCTGGATTCAGAAAAGGAAGAGGCATGGAGTATATTGCAAATTTGCGTTGGATTACTGAAGCATACCATGGAATTCCAGAACAAAATCAGTTTGTGTTTTATAGATTACTGCAAAGTTTTTGATTGTTTGGGTAAGGAAAAGCTGTGGATGAATGTGAAGAAATTGCCACAGCATATGACTGTTTTGATGATCAACATATACTCTGGACAAGAGGCTACTGTTAGGATAGAATATGGGGAAACAGAATGATTTCCAATTGGCAAAGACAATAGACAAGAGTTCATATTATCTTCCTATCTCTTTAATCTATATACAGATCCTCATAAGAGAAGATGTGTTAGATTTAGATGAAGATGGAGTGAAAACTAGTGGAAGGAATATTAACAATTTGAGATGTGCAGATGACACCACATTACTGGCAGAAAATAGTGAAGACCTTAAATGAGTAGTAATGAAGGTTAAAGGAGAAAGCCCTCGTGGCTCGCCTTAATGATCCAGGAGGGGCACGGATCAAGGTCGCACGTGGTTGGACCCACAGATACGAGCAATCTGTCAACTTCATCCAGGCCGAGTAGGCTGAAACATTCTAAACCCGGAATCGAAGGCGCGCAAGGGGCCTCAAGTTCCCTCAGTTTCAATTGTGGCGGGGAGATCTCAGCGGAGTGCCAAGAGCTGTCAAAGACCGTATTATACTAAACAATTGGGCTGGGCGTGAGCTCACAGACACAATCTCGGTCGCATAGAAGTCTCTCTTAGCGGCCTTGACTGCCACCTCATAGGATCTCATAAGCGCCCTATAAGATGTTCTCAGTGCCTCGTTGTGAGTGTGGCGCCACCGTCTCTCTAGCTGTCTCAATTCTCGTTTCAGCTGTCGCAGCTCCTGGGTATACCAGGGCGCTCACCTAAGATGAGTGTGGAGAGGGTGCCTGGGAGCGATCTCATCGATGGCTGTGGAGAGCCGACCATGCCAGTCCTTCATCAGCTCATCCAATGAGCCGCCAGGGGGCCTTGGATCCCGCAGATCCATCTGGAGCCACATAGGGTCCATTTGACTCCGTGGGTTAGCAAAAATCCGCTCGCCGCCTACACAGGGTCGGAGTGGCACATTCAGATGGGCCTTCAGGGCCTGGTGGTCTGACCATGGCACTGCCTCAGCAGTGATCCTGTCCACCATCATCCCCGCCGCGGAGATCAGATTGCGTATGTGACCGGCCCAGTGCGTGGGGGCCAATACCAATTGAGAGAGTCCCAGCGCTGCCATGGACGACAATAGATCCGTAGCCCGGCTGGAGGCCGCGTCCTTGGCATGGGCGTTGAAATCACCCAGGACAATCAGCCTTGGGTGTTCCAACGCCCAGCCTGATATGGCCTCCAGCAGGGACAGCAGGCTATTGGCCGGTGCATAAGGCGGTCGGTACACCAGCCAAATCGCCAAACTCTCCTCAGCCTCCAGCATCACGCTGACACACTCTGTGCCCGCGATCTCCATGGACGGGAGCGCCCGGAAGGAGTAAGCCTCCCGAATGAAAATAGCTACTCCTCCCCCCCACCGCCTAGTCAGCAATTGGTGAAGGACCAAGAAACCTAGTGGGGCAAACTGGGCGAGAGCTACCGTCAATGAAGATGTTGAAATTATTAAAGATTTTCAATTCCTTGGTGCAATCTTCAACCAAAAGGGAGACTACAACCAAGAAATCAGAAGGAAATTGAGACTGGGAAGGGTAGCGATGAAGGAACTAGAAAAGATCCTTAAGACCAGGATGAACATAACTCATACTATGGTATTCTCCGTTATTATGTATGGGTGTGAAAGTTGGACAATAAAGAAAGCAGACAAGAAGAAAACTGATTTATTTTGAAATGTGATGTTGGATGAGAGTTTTACAGATACCATGGACTGCCAAAAAGACAAATAAGTGGGTTTTAGATCAAATCGAGCCTGAATTCTCTCTAGAAGCTAAAATAGCTAAACCAAGACCATTATACTTTAGTCACATCACGAGAAGAGAAGACTCAGTGGAAAAGCTAAAGGGAGTAGGAACAGAGGAAGACCTAACATGAGATGGATTGACTCAGTCAAGGAAGCCACAGCCCCCAGTGTGCAAGACCTGAGCAAGGCTGTTAATGATAGGACATTTTGGAAGTCATTAATTCATAGGATCAGAAGCAACTTGGTGGCAGATGACACAGGTAGTAGGGCCAAAATCAGACTATGTTTGTTTTTGAACAGTACTACTTGATGCCATCATTGTAAACTTTACACTCATAACTCTTGCTCATGAGGAGTCACTTCTCCAACATACACCAGAGGCTAAGTAAACACAGTGGGGTTGGAAGTAATAAATCACTATGAAAATAAATAGCATTAATAAAAGAATGTTTGTTATGACAGACTATTGGTGCACATTCTGAAAGATATAAAATCCCCCTCCGTCTTACTCCTCTGTCTTGTATCTGGGATGAGAAAATGCAATTCATCGTTTATGCATGGCTCGTGCTTTACCTGAATCAAAGATTATTTGGCTGTCACTTTAGTTAAGTGAAGTTGCATTACTTAAAAAATACTAGGTTACAAAAATGGAATGCTTCCTGGACTCTAAAGGAATTCTCAGAAAGATGTTTTATTGCACAGAACATTTATTTTATTCTGCATTTAATGCACTATTGTTACTTAGTTGAGACCTTAATGCTGATTCTCCTTAATCTCTGTGCAGCATTCAGTACCATTGACTATGGAATCCTTCTGGAGAGACTGGTTGAATTGGGAGCACGGGGTACCATGCTTTGATTGTTTTGCTCTTATTTGATTGGCCTATTCCAGAAGGTGGTGCTGGGGGATGCTTCTCAGGCCTATGACATTTATAATTTAGGGCCCTGAAGTGTTCCATCTTGTCCCCCCTGCTGTTTAACATCTACATGAAACCACTGGGAGAGATTAGGAGTAAGGTGTCACGATATTCAGATGACACCCAGCTCCACTTCTCTTTAATAGGTGAGTCAGATGGGTCTGTGGAAATCCTGCAGAGAATGAGGGCCAGTAAACAGAAGCTCTGTCCAGATAAGACTGAGGTACTGCTGGTCAGTGACAAAGGTGCTCAAGGACTGAGGAGTCAGTCTGTTGTGGAGGGGGTGCAATCCTTTGAAGGAACAGGTTTATAACTTGGAGGTACTACTGGATCCTGGCCTACAGTTAGAGGCCAAGATCTCCTCTGTGGACCATAGTGCCTTTTATCAGCTTTAGATGATACACCAGTTATGGTTGTTCCTTGAAAAGCATGATCTGGCCACAGTGATCCACGTTCTGATTACATCTAGGTTGTATTACAATAATAGTTTCATTTGGGGCTGCCTCTGAAAATACTTCAGGCACTTCAGCTTATCCAAAATGCAGCAGCCAGGCTATTGTCAGGGGTGGGTAGGCTTGCTCTTCGCCTGCTGACATCTGAAATGCCAGTGGAAGGAACTGGGGGAATTAGGGAATGTGCTGGCATGGTGCTGGCATGATGGTGTCATTTCTGATAAACCCCAGAAGTGACATCATCATTGACACTCTAGAATTTTTCAAAACTCTGGTTTTATCATAGGGATTGATTTTAACAGTATTTTAGCTAGAAAGTGTTTTAAACTGACTGTAGTCTGTTGTATGGTGTATTTTTAATCCCACACTAGGACTTTTTAGTGCTGGGTTTTAATTAATACCCCTTAATGTTTTGTTATTATTATTATTTTTGTTTTGTTAGCCACTTTGGGCAGGTTTCTGGAGAGACAGCATAAAAATGCTCTAAATAAATGAATAGCATGTCCATTGTTTGGAAAGCACCTTTTCTGAGAAACAAGGCGACTGATGAAATATTACCCCCTTTTCCTGTACTTTCATTGACATATCCTTTTTTTATCTAGTTCTTTTGTTTGGAGGCCTTGTGTTTTCCTCGCCAGCAC